AAGCTCGAATTGACGATCCATTGTGTGTGTGTTTTTAAAAAAAAAACACTGACGAAGATAACTGAGCATGCATGTATATCCAAGAAACGTACAGCGTTCCCCTGTCAGACATCCTTTTTGCCACGTCAGCGATCCGCTCCGAAACGCATCTCAGCCGTCCAAAACCTGACCGCACCAACGCCTGGCGCTCGTCCACGCCAGCGATCCGCAGCATCCGCCTCTCCACCAATCAGCGCGCAGGGCATCCGTTCTATAAAGCAGCCGTCCCCTCCTTGCCTTCTTCTTCACGAATCCTCCGCAGCCTCCCATCCCATCCTCGAAGTCCGATTCGCAACCGAGCAAACCCTACCGCCCTTTTCCACTCACCGAGAGGACCCGATGGCGCCCAAGGCGGAGAAGAAGCCGGCGGCGAAGAAGCCCGCGGAGGAGGAGCCCGCGGCCCCGGCGGAGAAGGCCCCCGCGGGGAAGAAGCCCAAGGCGGAGAAGCGGCTCCCGGCGGGCAAGTCCGCCGGCAAGGAGGGCGGCGAGAAGAAGGGTCGGAAGAAGGGCAAGAAGAGCGTGGAAACGTACAAGATCTACATCTTCAAGGTGCTGAAGCAGGTGCACCCGGACATCGGCATCTCCTCCAAGGCCATGTCCATCATGAACTCGTTCATCAACGACATCTTCGAGAAACTCGCCGGCGAGGCCGCCAAGCTCGCCCGCTACAACAAGAAGCCCACCATCACTTCCCGGGAGATCCAGACCTCCGTCCGCCTCGTTCTCCCCGGGGAGCTCGCCAAGCACGCCGTCTCCGAGGGCACCAAGGCCGTCACCAAGTTCACCTCGTCTTAGGCTTCTTCCTTTTTCTGTCCTCGTGGGATGTTGCTAGCTCCAGTAGGTCGGCGGCTTGGCTGTTTGGTGTCGTGTAAGTGCCGCGGTGGCTTTTGACTGAATGAAATGCTATTGTTATCTGAATGTTCATCTCTTATCAGTCCAACATCTGCTTGCTAAAATTATTCTGGCTATTGTCTTGGGTTCAGATTGTTAGTGACATGAGTGTAATGTGCACCAATTTGTGCTGATTGGTTCTTCGATTGCCAAGTTTAGTTCACTGTTCTAGGGCCTTGCATGCATGCTGAATCTGTTGCCCTCTAGCGTTCACAAGCTGTGCTTTGTGTGGTGTTGGTGGCATCTGAGCACTTTTGAGGGAAACTTTTTCTCAGTTTGATTTAGATAAGCTCTTTTGATCATCCAGGATAATGCCTTCTGATCACCTGTACTCTAGCGAGAATTTGGACTTTTGCAGGGTTCAACGCTGTTATGGAACCAAGTATTAAGCCTCCTCTTGCTGCCCTTGATTGGTTCTATTCCTTCGATCATAACAATGGATGTATGTAGCTATAAACATCGTTTTTGCAATGCTCAGCAATTCTTGCTTCAAAGACAGCCCATCTTTTGGTCCCTGCCAGCAGGTTTAATTTACAGAAATCCATCAAACCGTCTCTTGAGGACCAAACCTGATTGTCCTGTGCAGTCTTGAAGTGCATTAGGTCAGTTCTGTACAGAACCTGGTTGTCTTAAATCTTGGAGTGCAGTCAATTGTTTGCGGTGTTCATCCTTGACATTGTATACTTGAATACAATGGCCAATCTAACAATTTTTTCAATTATATGCAGTCTTTTTATTGTGGGATGGCTGGTTTATAAACATGTAGGAATCATGAATGGCTTTGTTTTAGGGGAGGTGGGAGTTTACCTATGGACGGCTGTGGGGTTGCTAATCAAAAATCCTATTTTGTCTGTTTTGGTTATGTCCATTGTCTTGGACTGGAGTACATATATAAGTGATGTAAAAAAAGAAGTGATGTCAGCCTCTGTTACGTTAGGAATTCTCTGATTCTCTCGCTTGCTTCTTCCAATCCAACTTGTTCTTCTAAATATATTGTTCAGTAATCCTGCTTGTTAGTTGTTCCTATCCAGACATGAACTAGCATTCTTATATATTAAGAAGAAGAAAATGGCATGACACTTACAAAACACACACAACCACACATACAAAATTCTAGGTAGACATTGCTAGTTCTTTCAAATTGCTTTCAAGCCATTGTTAGTGTCACTTCCTAATGGGCATGATTTTTTTTTCTATTTAGAATTCCACTAGCACATGTATTTAGGGATGCTATCCAAGGCTGAAGGAACCTTCACCGAGTGTATAGACTATAGAAGACAAGGAGGTAAAGGCGTAAAGCTATGCAGGTCCGTTTTTGCTTATATAACCAGATTTGCTAATGTTGTCAGTCCTTTCTCGCTCTAGTTTGCTAATGTTAAGTGCACCTGCCAACTAAAAGGGCGTAACCAGTGCAGAGAGCTCCCGCTCTGTGCGGGGTCTGGAAAAGGGTGTCAGTGGCAAGCCTTAGTGCCTTACCCTCGCCTATGCAATGCGAGGAGACCGCGACTCAAACCCAGGACCTTCCGGTCACAGGCGGTAAGACTACCGCTTGCACCTACCAACTATACATAATTTTTTTTCTTGCACACGCAGGAGGAACTGCATATCATTTCAATAACAGGTAGAAAAAACGGTCCGAATACATAATGATAATGGACATTATTTTCTTCGTACAACAGATGAATATTGATCTCATTTGTCACCCTTTATCCCCACAGCCTGAAGGACTACAATGCACCTGTTGCTATTTCAAGAAGCATTGAGCAGTCCTGGTAGCTCACATCGTAGTCTGGTGAAGGAAAACTGAAGGATGCACACCACTTGCTCGACCAGGTCAATCAGTTCGAATTACAGAAACAACACAAGAAACTAAGCAGCTGGTCAACTTCAAATACATACATATACATCAGTATATTTGCACAAAGAGACTAGAGGCCTGGGCGCCTGGCATAGCCGCACAGGATAAACTGCCCTCTGTTGTTCCCTTGGAAATATGTACAAGCTCATCCATGGAGTATTTTGAAATGGAAACCAACCTCAGTTGTTCTTCAGCAGATAATGAACTACTGAACTGCATCAAACCAGTCATCACATTTCGGGGCTTGTAAAAAGTGGCTGAAGACGAATGTCAAAGTGGACACTCTCGATGCCTTGAAAACACATCCAGCGTTTGGATCGCAGAGATGTCCACCCTAGCAAACATATCACGTTTTTGTAAGCTTATTATACTCGTAGTAAACATATAGCAAAAGAAGGTCCAAAACCATTCTGACTGCATGCTGTACCTCACCTTTCAGTCGCATATCACTGCTATACCTGGAGATACTCAAATGCATTATGACTGAAATTTCAATTGCAGATGAAGCAGCATGGTGGGATTTGAATGTAAATGAGTTCAGGAGGCTGAATAATTTAAAGTTGAATAACATAAATCATGTACTCCTTCCATTCAAAATTGTAAGTTCTAGTTTTGTCGTAAGTCAAAGCTACAGAAGTTTGACTTAGGACAAAACTCGAATGGCCAGCATTTTGGAACCGGAGGGAGTATGGTGTGTCTGGAGGTCTGCAAGGCTCCCAGGCTTACAGCTCTATTTATTAGTAACATAACAAACCCAACAGTTCGTTCTAGTACATGTGTGGGCAGGCAAGAAGGGGAAATTTCAGGAATTGCCCCCCCTACCAAACATATATCACCCATTTGATACCTCCCAAAAGACTTCACAAAATTTCTAAGATGAGCTAAAACAAATGAAACTAGGACTCATCTTACTGACTGACTGAAACAGAAAAGACTCAACACTAAAGACAAACACAAAAGATTATCTAACATAATGTACCTGAGAACTAAATAAATAAATACTCCTTATCCCAAGAATGTCTGCAGAATGAAGCAAAAATACCTATCATTGTAATTTTCTAAGACATTTTGCAAGGAAATTACTCAGAAATTGTAGGATATTCACACCTATACAAGACAAGGACATACCTACAACCGGAAATGGTAAGAAAGAAAACATCTCTTAGGTTACAATTAGCATGTTGGGGAGCACACATATAAGGTAGAGACAATAACAGCAATAAAGCCTTATATACTGTAGATACATAGTTTTTTTTTGGGAAAGAAATATTTATTTTACCCGAAAGAGTGATATTATTCATCTTATATACTAGCATCTTCTTATTGGTCAAAAAGGGATGACTGGAGAAAATGGGCTATCGGCTCACTTGCAAGACGAAATACATTATACGAGATCAGATCAACAAGTATTCCAACCAATGTTGGCACCAAAGGCCTGATCCAAGCAAAGAAACCCCGGCAGCACATAATTTATTAGTATGCATCCATGGACTAATTCTATGGCAGAGTGGAATATGTATTTGGTTCCCCCTCATACACTAATTCTACATTCGTTATGAGCTCAGTTAACATTAACCGAATGCTCCTCATACACTAATTCGACTTTAGTGTGAAGTGTTAACTTACTCAACATTGACTGAAACCTACTCAGGGAATCTGATATGCAATACAAGCGCAGAAAAGAGGAGAAAAGCAAAATAACACAAAGCAAAGTATTATAAGAACAGAACAGGCAGAGAAAAGAAAATTTCAGTGCAACTGCAGAAGAAAGGATCCATCAATAGTTGCTCATCTCACCTGGTCCTGTACCATTAAAAATCATGGGAAGATTTAAGGAGCTCCATGGTGTAACTGGACTCTTACCTTCCCAGCTGAGGAACAACCTGACTTGGTTGTGGGAAGTAGACCATAAAAAGGTCCCAAGAGCTAAATGAGAGATTCCATGTGACACTTCAAACTTCATTGAACAAGTGAGAACGTACATAACTCTCAATAATGATTTGCTTGGTATGCTGCAAATGGTTCACTGCATTAAGGAAGAAGTTGAAATCAGGCAGAAAGTATCAGCTATTGAGCTTTAGCATGGTATCCCATCATACTGTTGGCTGCTGCTGTTTTTGTTCCTCTGTTTATTTCATTTCGCGATTTTCTCCTGTGAATTAGCAGAGGTCCTTCTTTAGTTTCAAGAAGAGGAAATATGTTTTATTGCGTGCTACACCAGATCGAGGTTCGGAACATATCCCTCTAGTCTCATCTCATTTACCAATATGCACATGAGTTGATACATATCTTCTGCACCATGCTGTGGTTCAGTGCTTGCATAGAATTCAAGGACTTTACCATGAACTTCAACCCAGCTGCACCCTGGAGTCTTGCTAACACCCCTTTCCCTCATTAGCCCTATCATTCTTGCAGATTCATCCATTTTATCTGAGGTTGCATAAATCTTGGATGACACCACGTAGTTCCATGAGTTTGTTGGCTCCAACTTCATAATCCTTTTGATGACCTTCTCACCAACCTCAGCATTCTTGCATTTCCGACAAGCAGCAAGCAAAGCGCCTAACATGACAGCATCTACCTTGCCAGGCATTTTCTCAATAAAATCCCATGCTTCTTCTAAATGACCAGCACGTGCCAACAAATCAACAATGCAGGAGTAGTGCTCAATTTTAGGAATGATCTTAAACACAGGTGTCAGGGAATTGAACAGCTGGCGGCCATACTCAAGTAGCCCAGCATGTACACAAGCAGAAAGCACACCTATGAATGTGATATCATCTGGCTGGAGTCCTTTTTCATTTCTCATTAGTTCAAACTGCTGAATGGCATCATAGCCTCGACCATTGAAGGCAAGCCCACAGATTAATGCATTCCATGAGGCTTCATTTTTGAATGGCATCTTTCCAAAAACATATGCGGCTTTCTCAAGATCTCCACACTTAGCATACATGTCTACTAAGGCTGTTCCCACATAGACATTGCTGTAGAGGCCTCTGTGCAAGGCATACCCATCCAGTTCAACTCCAAGCTCCAGTGCACCAACTGCAGCGCAGGATGAGAGGACACCAACCAAGGTTATCTTGTCTGGACGCAGCCCAGCTTCCCTCATGCTGTGAAACAAGGCTATTGCTTCATTTGACATGCCATTTTGTGCATACCTGCATCAGCTGATATGCCATTTGTAAATTATCAGGCCAAACAATGAATCCTTAATCAGTAATTTTTTTTTTTGCAACAATAATAGAAGTGTGTCTTCATATACTTGCCCCGTGATCATGGCATTCCATGCCACGACATCCTTGTTGCTGATGCCATAGAACACACGCCGTGCCTCTTCCATCTCTCCACACTTCTCATACATCCCCACAAGCGCCGACCCAATGAGCGAGTCCACCTCCATCCCGGCAGACGTCACCCACTCCTCCACCCACTTCCCAAGCACCAAATTGCCAGCATCTCTGCAAGCTGTGAGCACAACGGCCAGTGTCACCCCATTTGGCGCCACTGCGCCCTCAGTGATCATCGACCGGAACATCCCTTCAACCTCGGCCACCATCCCTGCCCGCTCGTATGCTTTCATTATAGAGTTCCAAGAGACGACATCCCGGTGGGGAATTCCGTCGAACAACCTGCGAGCGGTGAGGTGATCACCGAGGCAGGAGTACATAGTGATGAGGGAGTGGACGGTGTGATCGTGGTCCCTGAGACCGAGCTTCTCGAGGAAAGCGTGGGCGGAGCGGGCGAGGGCTGGGGCCGGGCAGCGAGCAGCGGCGAGGAGGAGGAAAGGGAGGGTGTAGGCGTTGGGTCGGAGCTCGGCGCGGAGCATGCTGAGGAAGAGGCGAAGAGAGGTGTACGGGCGCGACGAGGCAAAGAAGCGGAGCGCGACATTGTAGGAGAAGGCGGTGGGGGCCGGGTGGGAGGAGAGGAGGAGGAGGACATAGTCGGCGGCGGCGGCGGAGGAGGAGGAGGAGGAGGAGGAGAGGGAGAGGAGCTTGGAGAGGAAATGGTTGTAGGGAAATGGGCGGTTTGAACGTGCGAGGAAGTGGGCATGGAGCTGCTTGACGGCGGCGAGGGAGCGGCAGCGCGACAGGAGCCTAGAGACGGCGGCGGCGGCAAAGGCGGCGGTGGTGGTGAAGGCGGCGGAATACATTGCTGAAGGTGGCGTAGCCGACGGGTGGTGGAGCTGTCGCGGCTGTCCGTCTCCGGCGGCGTGCCAGCGATCCTCGCCGAGTCGGATGGGACCGCCGCCACCGCCCCAGAGGAAGAAAGACTTTTTGGCGTGCGCCGGCATCGGCATCGGCATTTCAGTGGCCGCGAAGCTGATGTTCAGCTGGCCGCACACCCTTGTCATTGTGTACTGCTGGATTTTTTTTGAGGTGTTTTTTCACATGGGGTCCACGTGAAATTGTATTTGATATATATTTGAAAAATACTATTTAGTATTTGAATAAGTTTTCTCGAGAACATTTATTTCTTCTTAAAAAATTGAAGTTCTCTAGTCATGAAACTATAGTTGTCCATGTAGCCCGAGGCACGACGGCACGGCATGGCACGAAGCCCGTTTTTTTAGCCCGACACGAGTACGGCACGGCCCGGTGACATACGGGCCCGGGCTGGCCCGGCCCGAGGGAGCAGGCCGTGCCTGGGCCGCTGCTCAGCCAGCCGGTGGGGGCACGGCACGCAGCCGCCCCGCCTCTGCCACGGCCCGGCGTGCCCGGCCCCCCCTCCCCCTCCCCCTCCTCACTCCACTCCTCCCCTCCCAGCCCACCGTCCCCGCGGCCCAGCTGGCCGGCCTCCCCCCTCCCGGCCCACCGTCCCCGCCTCATATATGAGCCGACCAAGACCAAGACTCAAGACGCCTTGCATGCACATGGCTCTCCCCATGTGCACCCCATGCAACCATGCTCGGACGCTCCGACCCCCGAACCCTAACTCCCCGTCTCCATCTCCTCCGCCTCCCCATCTCCCCGTCTCCATCTGCTCCCCGTCCCCATCTCCCCGTCTCTAGCATCAGGCATGACCGGCGCTGGGCGGCCACGGCGCCTCCTCCATCCCCACCCCAGCAAGGCTCATGGCACACATGGCGGCCCGAGGAGGGCGGCCCTTCCTTCACCAAAGAAGAACGGCCCTTCCCCACCACCAAAGAATGGCGGAGATGGCCCTTCCCCACCAACAACAAATAAAAGGGACGCGCGGGCGCGCTGGGCGGCGAGATCTACAGGCCGTCTTTGCTGCCGCTGTTGCTGCCGCCTCACTGCTTGGCATGAGGAGGTCGCCCGCGCCGTCGTGGCCTCCGTCGCGCTCTCCTCCCGGGCCGCCTCGGCCGCAGCGCCCGGCCTACCCTCTTTGGCTCTCTCCCTTCCCCTGCTGATGCGGGCCTCGGGCCGGCCTGGCCTGTTAAGAAGGTCGTGCTTTCCGGCCCGGCCCGGCACGGAAAGTGGCCCGACGGGCCGTGTCTGGGCCGTCGGCTAGGCACGGTGGACTGGGGCGGCACAGCCCGACGGCCCGTCGTGCTCTACCGTGCCGTGCCCTACCGGGCCATGCCTGGCACAGGCCCGTGCCGGGCCGGGCCGGGCGGCCCGAATGGCCAGCTATACATGAAACTCGACATGAATAGATCTCCCATCGGTGTGTCTCCGGTGGTGGTGGAAAGAATTGTCGATTCTGTCTGTGTGTTTGGTGGGATTTTTCTCGATTCTCAAGGTGGTACAGCAACAGATCCGATTCTAAGCAGTCCCAAGCACACATACAGTATTTTAGATAAAATAATCTTTAGTTAATCAAAACACTCTAGGTTATGTGTTAGATTACCGTAGTCCAACAAACAGACTATTGTAAAATCTAATAGTCCATCTCAAACCTACTAATATATAGAAGATTAGAGGTGCTCACAAAATCGAATCCCATAATTCAACACCGATAATTCAGGGATCCAAACAACCTAGATTAGCATAACACCTAATCTAGATTATTATACTCACATTCAGGATCTAGTCTCTAGTAATCCAATAATGATCTAAACAAAAATTTAATTATGGAGGAGAAACTTAAGAAAAGTTAAGTAAGCAGAAGGTAAGCCCTAATTTGGTTCTTTCAAATATTCTATTAATAATTTTAGCTGCACATAAATCTAGAACATGTGCTATGTTAGTGTTTTAGTTTTATAATTTCAACAGTTCATCGGTTAGCCTCCTCATGGACACTTTCTGGCTTGGCACTTGAACCAAAACTGATTAGCACAAACAGGAGACATTGGCGTAAAGCAACAACATAGGGGTATCTTCGTACCCATGTGAAGAGTCTTTTCACCTGAGAACGAAGGCTTTATGGATTTTTCGGTAGTGCTAGTGCCCGGACGTTCGGACGGATGAGTCTGCACCCTGTTCCCGCGCCTGCACTCCGCCCCGCGCTAGCCCATCGCGGCGTCTGCACCCCACGTGGCATCTGCACCTCCGCCTGACCCCACGTGGCGTCTGTGCCCCGCCCGACCCCTCGCGCCCCCTCTAGCAACTACAACACGCGGGTGACATTGCAACATATGCAACACTCGATTTATTTTTGAAACATCCAGATGCAACACTTGTAACATACGTCTGAAGGCAGATAAAACACTTTAAAACATGCTTCTGAAACACTTGCAAAAAACACTTGAAAAACGCTTGTAAACCATTACAAACGTACGCAACATCCATATAAAACACTTATAACATTTGTTTGAAACATATGCAGACATTGGGAACATACGCTTGCAACATAAGTGTACAACCATTGCAACATATGCAACATCCCCGATCTACTTTTACAACATCCATATAAAACACTTGGAACATATCTCTGAAACATCAAAAACCCTTGAAACATATGTTGGAAATAATAGCAATTTAGTGATGCATAAATTAATTCCAACAATGAGAAAAAGAACAACAACATATATCAAAGGTGAATGATTTATCACTAGCACTACGATCCGAGACAATTTGAACTCTAGTGCTAGTAACAGTAGAAACATAAGAACGAACAACAAAGAAAGAATAGACATTCTTACGTGGGGTTGCCGAGAGTAGACGATGGAGACCATCGATGGAGACCAACGTAGAGGGAGGAAGACGTCGAGCGAGCAGTCGCGATGGCGCTTCCCAAAAACCTGATACGCGTCCTACTCCGTGCAGGGACACGAGGAGACGTAGGCTTCGGAGACCTGCTCTCCCGGCGTCGATGACATGTCGGCGACGGGGTGGGGAAGACGGCAGCAGCACAGTGCACCCGCTAGGTTGAAGCGAGAAATCAGGCCGGGCGAGCGCAGATGTGTGTTTCTTCCTTTTTCTCTTCTCAATAGCTTCAACTAGACGGAGACAACTCAGCCATTTAAGTTGGCCTCACTCCTTCTAGAGTAGCAATATGGGACTAAAGTCTCCCACCATACCATGCATGTGTGAGTGGGCCTTTAGGATTTTTTTGGGAATATTGACCCCGTTCGCTTGTCTTAAAAATGGTTTGTTCGGCTTGTTTTTTCAGCCGGAACAGTGTTTTTCTCTCACAACAATTCAGCCGGAACAGTGTTTTTCAGCCAGTTTCAGCCAAGCTTCAGACCAGCGAACGGGACCATTATTTGTGCTAGCCCAAATTTTCTAACAACATACACTTGCAACATATGTTTTTAGCGCAACATCTCCTTACTGCTTGGGAGAACGGAGGCTCGTCGGCGTGCCGGAGGCAGTGGCCCGGCGGCAGCAGCTCCACGACGCGGCGGGGAGGCAACGGCCGCACGAATGGGAGAGGGCAGCCGCGCCTCACGCCATCCTGTAGCAGCGCGTGGTGGTCGTCCTCGAGATCCAGCAGGCCGTCAAGGCCTACGGCGTCGAACGCTTAGAGGAGGAAGCGGCGGATGTACCCCAACAGCATGAGGAGGTGGAGCAGCTGCTTCGTGAGCACTAACTCCGAGTAGCCCACCGAGAAACCCATATCGGCCATGACCGGGGCAGTGGTTGTCCGGATTTGCTGGCTTCCCTTTGCGTGTTCATGCCTCTTTGCTTGAGGCGGTGGTGGACATTCCCCAAAAGCTCTAAGCGGATGGGAGAGGATAGTTGGATCGGCGTCGCAGCTCACCAGGGAGCGTCCGGGCGGAGGTCCGCACCGTAGTATTACCCATTTTTTTTAAGGTGGCGGCAATCTAGAGTTAGGGACGCTAAGCTCCATTTGTATAGAGGAGTTGTACGACGATGGTCACTGCATGCTAATTAGCACAAAACATTGCCAAAGTTTGAGGAATCATTTCAGATAGAAAATCATGGAAAGACATAAGTACTTTAGGCAAAGGAACCGAAAGTTGACACCAGGAATCGTTGCGCTTATTAGGTTGCCTGGCTAAGGTCAACAAATTCCAAAATGCACCATTTAGCAATGCGTACTAGTAATTCATAGCCTTGAGCAAGGAAGGGATCCTTGAACATAGCACTAACGGACGAATTAGTAATTTGCAAGGCAATTGATGTGGCCATATCGATATGTCGTGCACGGCAGGCTTAGGGAGCTCATTCTAGATTTCTCAGAGCTCTTTTCTTATTATGTTGTACAAAAGAGAAGCTCTGCCATTATTTCTGTGAGTTTGCTGTTCTCGTTTCTCTGTATTGTATATTTTGGCTGTCTTTTTTGGCACCCTCTTCTCTGTTAATTCAACCCGGACAGAGCTCCTGCATTCTGCAGGTCACAGCCGCAGCACAAGAAACTAACAGGCGGTTAACTGAACATTTAAATGTATATATAAATAAACATCAGTATTTGCTACAAAAGGCCAGGCACAGTCGCACACAGAGAGAAACTGCTCTTGTTATTTCCCTTGGAAATATTTTTGAGTAAATTTCCCTTGGAAATATGTACAAGAGGCCCTTGGTAAGTGGCTTCAACACTATGTACAAGGATGACTCCTATTGCGGCTCAGGAGAACAACTTACTATATCTCGACCCCGATCCTCTCCGCAACCTGCAATACAGTTACAAACAAATCAGCGAAAAATCACGCTTCAGAGAAATAGTGCAGATAACATGAAACAGTTGCAGGGAATCCAGAGCCGACTTATACAGTGCAACTGATTCTTGTTGAATTTCTGTAAATTAAACTTAGGGGGTGTTTGGTAGGGCTCCTCCGGAGGAGTCAGAGCCGTTTTAGAGAAGTCATCTCTGTTTTTCATTGAAAAACGACTCCTCCAACAAAACGTTTGGTAGGGCTCCTCGAGAAGAGCCGGAGCTGGAGACGAGGAGGAGCCCTGCCAAACAGGGGCTAAGATTTGTGCTCGTTAAATTTTAGATCCAGCGCCATGGAAATCAATAAGAGTGTTCAACAAGATATTGGTTGGAATTCCACAGGAGTGTTGAGCAGCAGAAAAATATACCTCCTTGAAGGAGTAAACATCACTGCCCCAAAGCCAGGCATCGCAGCCTGCATCCCTTGCTCCCCATATGTCGTTCCTACGGTCATCACCAATATGCACAGCTTCTTCAGGTTTCACTCCTAACAGCTCGCAGGCCTTCAAGAATATTGTAGGGTTTGGCTTTTCTGCTGCAACCTAAAAGATGAGCAACATCCAAGGAACAGAGTTTAAGACAAGATTAATAGGGAAATAGCAGCTAAAGTTTAGAAATAAGCACATAAATACAAGGCCAGAGCTTAATTAGTAAGCTTCGTTAAACAAGCCCATCTAAGGAATATTCAGAGATGGAAACCAACCTCAGCAGATATAGCAACTGCATCAAACCAGCGGTCACATTTAAGGGCTTGTAAAAGTGGCCGAAGACGGGTGTCAAAGTTGGACACGACAGCTGTTTTGACACCAGCCCTCCTCAATGCCTCAAAAACACGTCCAGCATCTGGATCGCAGAGATGCCAAGCCTAGTAAACATATCACATTTCGTAAGCTTAGCAAATATATACCAAAAGAAGGTCAAAAACCATTTTGATTGCACACTGTATCTCACCTTTTCAGTTGTATAGTACTGATACAGTTCCTCAAAATACTGTAGATCTGAGCAGCCAGTAGATGAACTCACTATGTATTGCCAAAATGGCCTTCCATCATTGACATACCTGGAGAAACTCAGATGCATTAGGATTGGATTTCAGTTGCAGTCCAAGCAGCAGCATGATTTTCGAAAGTGGTTTGAAATCTGGAGGGCTGCAAGGCTCAGTCTCAGGCACACTTCTTTTTAGTAACATAACAAACCCAACAGTTCATTCTAGTACATAAGTGGGCAGGCAAGATGAGCTAGAAACAAATGAAATGAAAGAACCAGTACTACTTCGGACCACCACCCAGATGGCCAGATATGTTGAGAAAAATTAGTGGCGATAATTTTTTACCAAGATGTTTCACCTGATAGGTCTAAGAAAACAGCCTGGAAGTACTTTATTGTTATGTAGGAGTATGCTTGAAAAGCACACAAAACCAGATCAAGTTAGTTTTGTCAATTGTACAGTATTTGTCCAATAACGCCTAAACCATATAATAAACCCTCATCCTTGCAGTTGGCAGGAATCTAGGGATTAGTGTTCCTTCTTTATTTCTTTATTTATTTTTTAGCAGTGGCATAAATAAACCAGCAAAACTCTATTTGGGATAAATCCTGTTCTCGGAACTAGATCTGGAAGACTTGTGATGATATAATTCTCCCAGTTATTGATTTGTTCTTGAAAGGATGCCCAGTGTTATTACGTCACATTGACTTACAGCTCAGTCTTATCTCTGTATAAATGTTCTCAATTTGCATCGCACCTGAGATTGATGGATTCAGATATACGGCCTGTTCACTTGTTGGTTTCAGCCAGGGCTTATCAGCCAGCCAACAGTGTTTTCCTCTCACAACAAACCAGCACCAGCCGGGCTTATCACCCCAGAAACCAACCAGCGAACAGGCTCATATTTAGGTTTGCTCTATTTATAGGGATTCAACTTAATCTCTGCACATTGGATGCAAACCTTTTAGCTGGAGGTCAGTATATATATGCGTGGCATGTTAACCATACATGACAAAATTGCTTATACAGTACCAAAATTTCCCTAGCTTTCATGCAGGGAACCACTTTGAAGCTGATTGTTCCAAAAGACCCAAGCCTCTGAAGTGAACGATCGACAACTTCTAACCACTTTTATTACCATAGGTCCACAGCTCGATTGGATTGCACAAAAGCACGAGGCATGTGCCATACCAAGTTAACAACAAACATGTAACAGTGGGGTGCAATCAACTGAGGTCACATAATACACCAGTTCCACATGCTTTTTTTTTTTCTCCCTCTAAAAAAACTCATGCAAAATACAGCAAGTACCATGAACAGTCACAAGTTTAGTGGGGCTTACCTCAGACGTGATCTACCCCATGGCTGAGCATAAGCCCGCCGATACCGCATCAGAATCTCATCCTCTGAATAATCCACTCCGTACTTCTGGCCTATCGTTCTGTACACCTGAAACAGACGTTTAAAACAGCAGACATCAGAACACTACTTAAACCGCATCCGAAAAAGAAGGAGCCTGTTCTGCAATTCGTCGTTCAGGGGACGACACGAAACCATCTAAGTAGTAAAGCAAACAAGTCCTGAAGAACACTGACAGATCTCTCCATAGCACAGCCCGAGACCGCATATACAGAGGAGAGAAGCAACAGATCAGATCAAGTCCAATCACTCCGACGCAGAGCGCGCACAGCTGAGCCGAAATCAACTTGCATGCCGCAGCAATCGCTACCGATGATCAGAAATGGGATACAGAAACCGCCGGACCACACATGCAGCATCAGGCAAGCAACCCACCGGGCAGAGGACGCGAACCGGAGGCGCGCGCGCGGCGGCGGCAATGGGAAGGAGGGAGGCGAGCGCGAGCGGAGCGGACCTGGGCCATGGGCTCGGTGGGGGCAAGCAGCGTGCCGGCGGCGTCGACGAGGATGGCCTTGTGCGTGATGTCGCCGTAGATGGCCCGCCGGTAGTCGTAGTACTCCCGCGCCCCCATAAGCTCCCACCTCGCGGCCCCCGGCCCCGCGGCCGCGGCCACCTCCGCCGCCGTCCCGAGCGGCCGCCTCTCGCCGCGGCCGCCCGCGGCGAGCGCCGGCTGCAGCCGGGCGGAGGCCGCCGCGCGCAGCCGCGCCACCGCCATTGCTTGCGAGGCGGCGAGATGAGAAGGAGGAGGAAGAGCGTCGCCGTGCCGTCCCCGCGCGTCGTGGGCGTGGGCTGTGGTGGTCCTCGGGGGAACTAGTGGTGGCGGTTTATAGGCGGCGAAGGCGTGGCGAGTGGTGACTCTGGCCTGAGGCCTGTGATAGAGAAGGCGCTTTGCTGGGTGGGTTTTCAGGTGGTGTTTGGAACTTTGGATCATGATCATTTCGAATTCTCCAACATGCGGCTCACGGCTGAAATTGACTGAAAAATACGATTTCGGTTGAATTGCTGTAAAAGAAAAATATTATTCTGACTGAAAAAAGAATCCGAACAAACCGAATATGGGATAAGGGGCATGATAAAACATGTTTAGTCAAGGGAGAACCGTAGAAAACATGTTTGGTCCCGTTGGAGCATGGTAAAAATCATGCCAAAATGGGATGAATGTTGGCAAACAAAATCCCCGTATATTTCTATCTTATATATCGCAATAGGTAGAGTGTTCCTATCAAGAGTTCACGACACAGGTGTCTCTTTAGCGGTAGGGTGTTTAGTTTGAGAAATAAAATGTTTATATTAACTAATCGCACGAAACTTTTTGTTTCTTAGTTTGTGAAATGGGATAGTTTAGCTCACCATGATCTCATTTCACCAAAATTATTAGGATGATGAGCTCGCCGAGCCACAGCAGGGGCGGCACCAGAAATGCGGCAGACGTTTTTCTCGCCAAGATTTTGACAGGTTGTGGTGTAGAAATTGAACTACGGCCCTGTGGGCACGACGTGGCACGCCACAAGTGCAACAGCTAACCAAACGGCCGCCACACAAGTTAGGCACACAAACTGTGGCCTGATTTGACAACTTACGGTAACAAATCAAACACGCCCGTACTACGTACCACAGAACTATTCGTATATTTTTTCTGAAATGTACTACTTAAGGTCGTTTTGTTGAACTAAACATTAAATTAAGGTCGTATTTGACAGTCCTGCCGTTGAGACGTTGAGTGCTAACAAACTAACAAAGATCAAAGAAGCCGCAGCAACAAAGAAATAAACAAGGACGACGATATCAACCTGTCAACCAATGCAAGTATATTCGGCGACTCGGCGGTGTGACCAACGAGGAGGTAGGTTTAGGCGAAAGCAAGCATTAGGGGAATTGAACGAACTTTGCTTCTACAATAGTATAGCATAACGTTGCTCGTCTACTCAAATGCAACTTGCTTTATAAGACCGACTTCCCAAGTGCTCTCTGCTTACGAGCTCAAGTGGGAGTGAGGTTGGAAGTTGCATAAATTGACACCGAGCAGGTCCGGTAGTGATGTTCACATAATTTAATCCATCTTTCACCCTAGCTACCTAGTTAATCTAGCGTATGTTCCAATGGGTGACAGTGATGCATGCATGCTGACACGAAACCGGCTTTCATCTCGGTAAAGCTCACATCAGTCTGCCACAGAGCCCATGGTTTCCCGTCCTGCCACGTCCTGCAGTTTTGGACGCTACTGAATTGTCATGTACCGTCGCGACGCCAAAGCAACGCAAAGTTACCTTATTATTACACTTACTTATTACACATCACCTTTGCATTAGTTTACACTTTAGAGAGACCATGGCATATGTTACTCCTACAACTTAGTCGTATATATGTTTGTGTACGCTAATTGGCCGGAGAGAGCCCGTTGATTCATGGGTCGCCCCCATCGGATCTTTGGGCCACGCTGTTGGCGTTACACGCGTGACGCACCGGGAGGATCGATTGCACGACGCCACACGCCATCAAGCTTACTCAGCTTTGTCATAAAATAAAAGAAGAAAAAAGCTTTCTCCGCCACTTTTTTTTAGTCGCAAAAAAAAGCCACCTGGTTTTTTTTCAACTCTGTTGGCTTGAGCTTATTCAGCATTATTTTTCAGCTATGGAACAGTATTTTTCTCTCACAATATTTCAGCATAAGCATTAATCTAAGGCCCCGTTTAGATCCAAAAATTTTTGGATTTTGGCTCACGGTAGCATTTCGTTTGTATTTGGTAATTAGTGTCTAATTATAGACTAATTAGGTTCAAAAGTTTCGTCTCGCGATTTATCACCCAACTGTGCAATTAGTTTTTTTTTTCGTCTACATTTAGTACTCCATTCATGTGCCGCAAGATTCGATGTGACGGGTACTGCGTAAAATTTTTTGGAATCTAAACAGGCCCTAAGTCAAATTTAAGAAAGAAATGTTTCCTTTATTTATTCATTATTATACTATGTTCAGAATTCCATGTGTATGGAAGTGACAAATGATTGGGAATCATCAACCCCGTACGCTTCGGCACCGGTTCCAAGACGAATCTGGTGCAGTGCAGTGCAGCCGTCAACAAACCCAGTAGTAGTAACATCTTGTTATTGAGTTCGTTAAGCACAGGGGCTGATAAACCTGGGTGCTAAACTGGACACCTCCTCATGTGTGGTGGTACTGTGGTCTAGAGGCCTGTTTCAATCACCTAGGATTAGTTGTTAGGTTCTAGACTATTTGGATCACCGATATGAGTATATGACTCGAGTAGTTGTTAATGTACAAGCTGCTGTAACTAACTGTTAGACTGTCTTTAATAATCGTGACCCAAAATATAAGATATATTCGTTTTTTTGGATAGCGCTACAAGCAAAGTTTTCAATATCTATTTTTTGTCTTCTCCAACAAGAAGACCCAAAAGACAACCCTTTCTGCAAATGGGTCTCCAGGAAAGAAGATACTCAGATTTGGGTTATGCCTCTCCTGTCACTCAAAATAGATCTTACATATAGGTACTCTGTTGGATGCTATAAGTATTATGTTGGAGACCCATTTTGAGTTTTGGTTCCGCAATGGATCTCCTGTTGGAGACAACCTTAGGTGCATAAAGTTGAGATGACTAATGAAGTTCAATCCTATGACATTTGAATACATTAAACAGTACTCTCTCTTCCACAAGAGAATAGAATTATGGGATCCGGGCTATTCAAACTGGTCAAGTTTGACTAAGTTTATACTAAATAGTATTAGTATTTATGCCTTCAAGTAAATTTATTGCTAAAATATATTCTATAACTAATCTAACGATACTTATTTCTTATCGTGAATGTTAGTACTTTTTATATAAATTTACAGCCCGTTCGCTTGTTGGTTTCAGCCAGGGCTTATCAGCCAGCCAACATTGTTTTCCTCTCACAATAAACCAGTACCAGCCGGGCTTATCAGGCCAGAAACCAACCAACGAACATGCTCTTAGTCAAAACTCTAGATGTTTGATTCCTCGAAAAGCGAGAATTGCGTTCTTTTGTGGACAGAAAAAGTAGTTATGAGAGCATCTTTACCAGTTCTCCAATATCTATTATCAATACGTATGTATTGGATAGCCCAATATTATTTGTGTGAATATTAGGAGAGTTGTTGGAGCACCCTAATATGGATCCCCTAATACTCATATGAAAGGAAAGTGATATTTGGGTGGTGGTTCTCATGGTATTAGGGGAGATACAACTCTCCTTTGTTTGAGGGGGGATGAGAAAAATATCGGTGACCACGATAAAAAGGATATATTGACGAACTGCTAGAGCAGGAGAAAAGCACAATTATTCCTATTATAACAGTCTAATATAATAGTTTTACGGGAATATGAAAATGTATTGGGGAACTGATGGAGGCACTCTTAGTCCACTTTAACTTCTCTTTACCAACTACAGTAGATTAGGTGTTCGGTATTGCTGTGCTAAGGACGTCCGTTCGTCCGGACGCTGCTGTTGATGGGCCACGGCACCAGCCAAACGGTCTAAATCTTGTGTATCCGCTCGCCTCCAACCTTATCTGCTCGTGAGCCTGTCGTCCGTTCCTCTCCATTCACCGCACCACCGCCGCATGCGTGCTCCAGCGCGACAACACTACCGTGGCATTCTACCACATGCGTGCTCCAGCACGACCACACCGTCGCCCGCCATCCTTCCTCTCCACCGTGCCATCTTCCCGCCGCGGCATACTCCATCGCGCCGACCTCCTTTTCTATCGGAGTGGCCTTCTCAACCGGAGTTGTGCGCCACTTCACGGCATCAAGCTTTGCACCGGTGTCGAGCTCCACGTGGACGAGCCTCCAATCATCCAAGCAACAAGTAGATGTTGCGCTGAAAACAAATGTTGCAAGCGTATGTTTTAAGTGTTTCAGAGGTATGTTGCAAGTGTTTCGTATGGATATTGCAAAAGTAGATCAGGATGTTGCATATGTTGCAATGGCTGTACACATATGTTGCAAACTTTTGTTCCCAACGTTTCATCTATTTTTTAGACGTATGTTGTAAGTGTATTTATCTAGATGTTGTATATGTTTCAACAAGTGTTTTATCTGGATGTTGCAGTATATTTGTAATGGTTTTTAAGTGTTTTTAGGTGTTTTTGCAATTGTTTTAGACTCATGTTTGAATTGTTTCATCTGTCTTCAGACGTATATTGCAAATGTTGTATCTGGATGTTTTAAAAGTAGATTGGGTGTTGCACATGTTGCAATGTGACCCGCCTGCTATAGCTGCTGGAGAGGGCGTGAGGTGTCGGGCGGGGGTGCAGACACCGTGTAGGGTCGGGTGAGCACAGACGCCATGTCGGATCGGTCGGGCATCCGTCCGAATGTGCGGGCGCTAGCAACACCATGAACTAAAAACTAATCTATCTACTAGTACTCCTGTTTAGATGGACTAGCGGTTAGTCCTGGTAATCAAACACGTCTCGGAGAAAAACCGAACGGACATCAAGTCACCAACTGCAGTTATCTCGTCCATCACTGATCTTCGGAGATTGGAACAAAGATCTCCCTGTGCCGGACTGCCGGAGCCTGGGCCGTGTGGCTGCGACGCCGCGACCTCCCAGCGCACACACGCCACTCTGATTGCAACTCCGGTAAATGACAGCAGACCGGAAGAATATCGTGTGGCCGGACGGACATGTGGCCCTCCATCACCGATATGGATTCCCACCGGGCTTGGTTGGCC